CTCGCAATTGTGCAGAAACGTCTTGTTGAGTTACTCTCAATAATTCTGCAAGCTTCTCTTGCGTTTGACTCTGATCTTCTTCGAGTAACTGCCTCTAATTCTTTGTCTTCGAATTTTTTTGGCTGTCCAGAGCGAGGCTTGTCTTCAACACTGAAATCTCCATCCTTGAAACGTCGAAACTATTTCCTACATGATTTATCAGTTGGAACAGTGTCACCATAAACTTCGACAAGCATTCGATGGGCTTCAGCTGCACTTTTCTTCCAATTAAAGCAGAAAATTAGAACTTCCCGCAAATGCTACTTGGTTAACACAAAATTCGACATTTCAAACACAGTAAAAATCAAGGTTTTTGTATGAAACTCAAAGTGATATAAACTGAATATTATTAGCAGATGTCTAACCTCTCTGAAAATGCCAAAATCAGCTGTCACTATGAACCATTCACAACAGCCGGTGCCATCTTTTGGAAAACGGACCGAACTAATTTGTACTCCCAATATATATTACTAAAGAAGGGAAACCCTATCCTTTGGTTTGGTTTACACAAACGTATTAATCAGTGCCACTATTGGGAGGATCATTTGACAATGTACTACGGTAACCTGAATGGGAGATGTATATTCCTACATGCTGCCGCGCATTATTGCTCTCTGACAAATAAAGGACTTTGATTGGTCCATTTCCTTATGCGTTATGTGTTATGCGTTATGCAAGAGTACTCCCCATCTTAGGGTACACCATCCACTTTTCAAGACTGGAGATAATAGGTTTGTTCGCGTCACATGCTCCAATATGTTTCAACATGTTTCTACCAGTTCTTACTCACTCTAACGAGCGCTTTGAGTGAGTGGGATCTATAGTTGGAAGAAATAGGAACATGTTGAAGCATACAACGCGAACAAACCTAATAAATCAATATTTATAAATATAATTTTTTTTATCAAAAAAAGTTGCTATGTAATTAACATCCACTTTGTCAGAAAACAATAGTGCGCGGCAGCATTTTGTGATTACAGGTAAAGTCAGCTAGATTAACAATAGCTGCGTTCAGTAATGCAAATCTGAGAGGCCGGAGTATTCTTATATTATAGCATATGTCACGTGCACTGTAGAAAAAGAGCACTCCGACGCCTCAGATTTGCATTGCCGAACGCAGCTAAAGTACCTCGAATTGTTGCCATTTTGGCTCCATAATGCGCGGTTATTCAAAACTTTAGCCTCTTTCGCTGCAATTCGTTTTTGCAATTTTTAACAGAACA